TCCGCAGCTTTGCTCCATGTCTTCCTGGTCTGCAGACCAGGGAGACGCAGAGCAGCTTTTCTCGCCCCGGAGTACACGGGCGGCGGGACTGCAAGGTCCCGCAGTCCGTGTCCTCCGGGGCGAGAAAAGCCCCGTTCGTAAGTGCGGATCCGACGTAAGTCGGGGACTGCCTGTAGTCTGTTCCAGGCTCTGCCACTGACTGTGTGGCGTTGGGCAAGTTATTTAGGCTAAAATTTTGTGTGCTCAACTTGAGAGAGCTTGGGCCTGATTTTTCACAAACAGTGAAAAGATCCCATTGATTTAACTAGAGTGAGTGCCAAACATTTTAGTGTCTGGAGGCACCTAAAAGCACAGGACACTTTGAAAATGTTGCTCATAAAATTTATGTAGTATATTTTCCAAATCTGTACAATGGAAAAGGTGTAAGGCTAAATTTATTAATGTTCTGACAGGAATCTTCATTTCTAGGATTGGTGTCTAAATCCTTTAGTTACGGGTACAGAATAGTTGGACAGCATTGTGTGCCCAAACCAGTAAGGGAAGCTGCTCCATCTAGTTTCACTGGCTCAGACTGTGTGAAGGGCTGCTAAGTAAAACACACAGTATGAGTTATGAAAACCAGATTTTAAATCTCATTCCTCCTAATCTGCCATGTTATTAATAACACAAGAAAGTTTTTTTATATTTTAATATCTGATTTTTATCTTGATTGTGACTCTCTAACCTTTCCTAGTAGTTTTTTTTTTAAACCTTTGTTGGATTTTGTAGCCCTCCTGTTGATGGATTTTATTTTTATTCTCTCTCAATAATAAATGAAACACCATTTCTTTGGAAGCAATTCGCTGGTCAAGGTTTTCATGTGAACTCAGCACTCTTAATCCTAACAAATAGGATTCTCTTCTTAATGCTAATACCCAAGTACGTTAGCTATTAATCTTGAGATGCTTTTCCACCCTCCTCCCCTAGTGCTATTTAAGATGAGGATGGTTACTGGCCCCTTTTCTCTTGTGCTCCCACAAGATTTCTGAGACTTATATGCTCAAATTCCACACATGAGCTTGTCAGTTTTAGGCCTTTTACCAGGGAGATTATTAGTTGCCCTCTTTGTTTGGCTGGTTTTCTGGACACCTGGGGCATGTCTACACTAGGACATTATTTCAAAATAACTTATTTGTAAAAACTCTTGAAATAACTATTTCAAAATAATGTGCCCCACACTACAGGGAAGCCTCAAAATTAGTCCAAAGCAGGCTGCCTTAATGTGAACGTGCTACCTCAACTTAGAGCCTTAGGAAGCGCTGGGGAGTAATTACTTTGAATGACTCTGAGGAGTAGCTATTTTAAAATAGCAGTAGTGTGGATGCTCCACTGCTGCTATTTTGAAATAACTATTTCAAAATAAGCATTTCTCATAGGAAGCAGGAGTTATTTTGAAAAAAAAACAAGCCTAGTGTCCACACTGCCAAACGTGTTGTTTGAAAAACTCCCTATGGTGGGCCAGAGCCTGCACAGTAGTAGAACCTAAGAGAAACCTACTGCTTGGAGGATCCTGCTGGAGTGCAAAGAGAGATGTTTAAATCTCCTCCTTTTCCCTTTGGGAAGGGAAGGGAACCTGCATCTGAGCTTTTAAGGGAGAAATTATTGTAAAACGAAACTATCTTTGAACCTCAAGTAATGAGAATATTAAACTGAAGTTGTTCCCTCCCTCCTTAGTTGAAGTAACTCTCCTCTCCTGCTGTTAATTTTTTTGGGAACTATCCTCATCACAGCTTTGTTTCCTTCGATGGTGGCTTGTTTTTGTAGGTTTGCTCACAATTGCTGGGCTTTCTTGCATGTCACAAGAGACCAGACCCGGGTAAAATTTTTCACATGGAACTGTACTTTAAGAGGTGAAATTCAGTGACATAAAAATATTTTGTGGATTCATATCAATTTTGCTGAATTGTTTGTTGAAAAATAAGTAAAGTCAGCCTCATTTTGATACTTGCAAACAATATTTAAATTTTTCAATTCAAAGTAACATTTGTGTAGAAATTTCCTTCAATTTTCATTAAAATGAAAAAATTTAAATATTCAGTCAAAATAAAACAATGCAGGTCAAACAAATAATTACTTTTGACTTTTTTTTATTTGACAGATTTATTTTGGATTGATCCAAAATAATTTTTAACTGCCAATGAACTGAATACTCAACTGTTTACCCAGCTCTGTTGAAAAATTGCTCTATGAGCATCAAGCTATGCACATTGGTTTGTTACCTCTGGTGTAGGTTTTCCTATGTGCTCAGCTCCTTACCCTGTATTGCAAAGATTTTGTGAGTATTGAGACACTCACTGCTATGTCATTTTAGGGGTACTTCTTGGTGCTCCGCTATACAAAATGTCTTGTTATTGAAGGGCTGTTTCACCAGGTTCAGACTGTTATTGTCAGTGTCAGAAGTGGAAACACCATATTAGATTAATCACATTCTTGGCCTTTGCTCCTAACAAGTGCATGATTGTTCCTTACTGTGTATTTTCAAGGCCTTTGTCCTACACCACTTTAAGTGTCTGAGGTGATGGGGCTTCCAGGACTTCCCTCAGGGATAATGCTCCACAGTTGAATAGATGTCACCATTAGCAGATGTTTTCTGATTTCCAGCTTGATTTTTTTCTGTGCTCTGTTCTGGTGATGTCTGGTAATTACCCTTTGAACTACCCTAAACTATGCAATATGTGAGCTGTTGGCTCTGAAAGCTTTTGGTTCCCTCTTGACTCACTGTTTTTATAAATGGCAACAGATATTTATTTCTTCTCCTCAAAGTTTTGATGGGGGATTTGTGCAGCATCTTGTTGCATAAAAGAAGAGGGAAATTTTCCTATTTCTCCTTGGAGATGGAGAATGGTGAAGGAGAACATGAGTGAAGAAGAAAGGGGTCATCAGGGTAGAAGTTTTGTGTCCCAGCAACCCTATTGCCAATATCAGGAAATCGGGGAAGAGGTCGGGGGGCTGTTGCAAATGCTGAAAATTCAGGGAGCATTTTCATCAGAGACAGTGAGCCTTGTGACAATGGAAAGGGTTGTATGTTCTGCCATGATCTGGACATGTATTAGAGGCACTGGCTGACATAGGTTTGATCTCAGCAGTACCCTCAGATCTGGGACCCTACTGTTCTGATGGGGCCCTGATGGATACAGTGGTGTTCATTTCAATTTGGCTGTGGTGTACAGCAGGCCTCGGATTTAGAGCTGACAGTTCAGTTCATTAAAAGGTTAAAAAAAATCCAGGAGTTTGGCTCAAGGATTTACTGGAGGGCTGTCTCTGCTTTTGAGTCAGCAAAATGGGGCTGAAGTAGGGTTGCCAGGTGTCGGGTTTTGAACCGGACATTCCAGTATTTGAGCTGTCTGTTTGGGAAACAAATTAAGAAAATATAAATGTCCAGTATTTTCTAAATAAGAGGTAAAGTAGATTGTGATGTAATGTCAAGTGTGTCCGGTATTTTTGTTGAAACCATCAGGCAACCCTAATTTAGAGGGAGCTCACAGCTCTCTCAGTCAATGCTGTGTGCCAGCAATGCATACCACACTTCATGTGCCCTTACTTTGTGTGTCACTTTAGTAATACTAGTAGAAACAAAGCTATACAGATGGGAACCAGTGGAATCTGGCAACTCTGCATGTGGGAGGTGGTAAACAAAATGTCTTTTGACCCATTTTGGTTCAATTAAAGCCCTAAATCGAATTAGCTGTTATTCCTCCTGCAATAAGGTTTAACAGCTAATTCGATTTAGGGCTTTAATTCAGAATCCCATTTCACTGCTGCATGTAGACGCGGGCAGTTACTTTGGGCTAGTCAATTTCTAAAATGGCAACCGTGCGGGAACATGCTAATGAAGCACAGGATATTTAAATCCTGTGCTTCATTTGCAATTTCAGTTGCCCTCATTAGGCTCCCTAGATCGAACTAGGGGGCTAGTGTAGACATACCCGAAGTTCTTCTTCACACAGCGCAAAGTCAATCTGTGGAACTCCTTGCCTGAGGAGGCTGTGAAGGCTAGGACTGTAACAGGGTTTAAAAGAGAACTAGATAAATTCATGGAGGTTAAGTTCATAAATGGCTATTAGCCAGTATGGGTAGGAATGGTGTCCCTAGACTGTTTGTCAGAGGGTGAAGAGGGATGGCAGGAGAGAGATCGCTTGATTATTACCTGTTTGATTCACTCCCTCTGGGGCACCTGGCATTGGCCACCGTCGGCAGACAGGATACAGGGCTGGATAGACCTTTAGTCTGACCTCCAGTATGGCCGTTCTTATATTCTTACCATACAAGCGGCGGCGAGCCCCACTCGCAAGCCGCGCGGTTTCGCACAGTTCTGCGTTCTGCGCATGCGCATATCATTCTGAGCCGGCACTTCTGGGTAGTAATGTACTCGCCACAGGCAAGTAGATTACATTATTTGACAAGCCTCTGTTTGTCAGAGGTTGGAGATGGATGGCAGGAGAGAGATCACTTGATCATTACCTGTTCGATTCACCTGGCACCTGGCATTGGTCACTGTCTGCAGACCGGGTACTGGGCTGGATGGACCTTTGGTCTCATGGACCTATGGCCATTCTTATGTTCTTATCCCTGATAACTTGTTCTAGTGCTTAACTACCCTTACATGTCAGAAGTTTCTCAATTATTTATAAGGCTCAGTGAAGGAGCTGCCTCCACACATCTAGGGTCAATGCTTTTGATGCAGCTAGCAGAAAATGGGGTTGAAACCGGAATCTCCCTTTGCTGTACAGAAGCAAGAGGCTTCTTCAGAATTTCTAAACAATTCATAAAGAGTGGGTTACATAATAATAAACAACCTTAACTACAGTGTGGCAAGGGACACTCCATAATACCTTCTATCATAGAACCTTGCTACTTTACAAACACAAATGAATTATATCTTCCAGCAAGGAAGTGTTACTGTTCCCATTTCACATGTGGAGAAAGTGAGGATCCAGGTCAAAGAGCACATCTGTGGAAGAGCCAGCAATAGAACCCAGGTATCAGGTGCCTTGTCTGGTATTCTGTAGAATAGGGACCATTATTTCTTTACATAGTAATTTCTGCTTCAGTTCCAAAGAACTGAATATGAACTAAACAATCTTCACTTCCCCCTCAGAGGAGGATCATTATCATTATCACTGCTTTACAAATATGGAAATCGAGGCACAAAAGGGTAACATGGCTTTTCAAAGGCCACAGAAGGCATGTTAGGCTAATAAACAGAACTAACCTCTGAAGTTCCTGGCTATGATTAGACTATATCTCTCTGTGGCCTGCCCCTTCCAGATAAACTTTCCCAGCTAATAGACTGGATTGCCAATGATGGGCAAGGGCTACACCCTTCTTTCTTTTGCCTATCTTTCACAGTAGCGTGGAGCCAAATAGATTATAGCAAAGGTTTTGTATGGTGCTCCCATAAGCTGTCAGTGTTTAGCAGTGATTAGCTTTTTTTTTTTAATCCATAAGCTGTCAGTGTTTAGCAGTGATTAGCGCTTTTTTTTTTAAATAAAAAAAAAGCACCTCTTTCTTTGTCTTCTAGAGGGTTTTTTTTAAAAAATTTTCCCTTAGCTTTGCTTCCTATTGACTAAAAAAATATATTGATGAGAAGGTTGGCGAAATGGAGAAGGATGGTGGAGGTCTTTGTTCCTAGCTGACAAAAGCTGAAGAATTTAGAGGAGTGAAGTGTGAGTAAAACCAGGAGAAGAAAGAGTTATTTAAAACCCTAGCTAAGAAATAATTCTTCTAACCTATGTGTGAGATCAATTTTCAATTTCAGTTTCCCTGTCCTTTTTGTTTCAAGACACTTGCATTCCACTTGGGACCAGTGTGTTCTGCCAGTGACTGTTTGTTTAAAACAAATTGTCTGTATGTAGTTTTTCTGCTGAACTGCTTCCTGGATCAATGTAACATAGCATAAGGAGAAAGGGGGAAGAATCCAAAGGCCTGATTCTCCTTTTGCACTACTTTAACATTGATGTGACTTCATTTGTTTCAAGGGGCAGTACATGGAGTCTACTAAGGCCCTCATTTCATAGATTCATTTATCATCATAGAAGATGCTGAATGCAAAGAAATAAATGCACCAAACCTAGTTGGACTGCTTGGATTTAAACTACCATGCAGTGTAGCATCCCTATTTCACATTCCCATAGTATCCTCAATTAACAAACAGCTGTTTTTTTCCCCCTCTGGTTCAGCTCAAACTAGTATTCTGATTTGACTACATTTGTTAGACAACCCTGAGGCCCAAACTCTCTGCTAGTGTAAATGGATGCAACTCCGTGGAAAGCTTAATTTTTAACAGCTGAGACTTTGGCCTAGAAAGTGTGGAGCATTGCTTGAGAGCAGCGCCTTGCATTTTTTGCTTCTTCAAATGACTGATGAATTTGTGGAACAGATAAGCTCCACCTCACATCCCCATACATTTCTGTAGACATTGTCACTTAAAGCCACCAACAACAAAAAATCCAGATTGCACTGATGTTGCACCTGAGAATGTATGTTGACTTGTATTCTGAACGTATGTTCAGAATACAAAACTGAATATGATTTTTCAACTGCTGGAAAAAAAAATCTGAAATGACCCATCCCTCCCTCCTTTGAAAGTGAGATTAAAAATGTTGCAAAATGAGCTCAGTTTGCCTCAATTTAATACAATGTAGAGATTAGAAAATATGACTGAAAGATACGATATTTTTATTATATTCAACATCTTTAATTGACAATCATGATGTTAAATAACTTTTAAATTGAATATATTAAGCTCAGTTTACAGATTTTCATGCTCAAAAATGGTCATTCAGTTAGCACTCGTGACCTGCACCTCACATTAGAAGAATGAATGGTCATGTTTGAATGGTTACTCGTTTTGAAGAAGCAAAAATTGCAAGGGGCTGCTCTCAAGCAATGCTTCAAGCTTTCTAAGCCAAACTCACTACTGTTAAACATTAGCTTTCGAAGGAGTTGGTCGTCTATCAAATGTAGCCAGATCACAGTATTAGACATCCAGACCCAGTTGTGCCTTCCTACAAGGAGATAAATACTGGGGGAGAGGGGGCGGGTTCAAATCTTAACTTCATTGAAGTCAATTGCAAAATTCCCACTGAGTTCATGGGAGGCTAGGATTTCAACCCTGGACTCTAAAAGGTATGTGGGATTAGTGCTCAAATTTTCACTTCTGAGATTAGTGTTTGAATCAGGATTAGTGTATATCAAAGTGAAAGGACTGCATTGAGTTGAAGTGATGGAAGAAACCCAGGTCTCAGATAATAAGGGGAGGAGGAGGTAAAATAACATAAATAAAACACACATGCCTTTCTGCATATACAACCTGCCTTTATGCAAGAGGTAAAATAACATAAATAAAACACACCTGCCCTTCTGCATATACAACCTGCCTTCATGCAGTTGGCCAGAGGTGCCCAAGCACTTCTAGCTCTTTGACTGGCAGTGTTTAACCTTGTGCTGTCCGTGAGCTGGCTGCATTCCTTCTCCCCAGCCAGCCAGGCTGTTCTTGTCTAATTAGGAGGAAAAGGTATTTGATATGGTTGAATTACTCTCTGTTTGGGACTGTCCTTCATCTGTGATAATTTGCAAGAATGGGTTGCACCCTGTTTAGTTTTTTTGTCGTCCTCCTCTCTTGTCCTTCATCTTTTACCTCTCTCTTGTTTTTATTTAGTCTAAGATGACCCAGCTGCCACATTTGGAAAGCAAAGCATTACCATGAGATTCACCCAATTTGGTAGTTTTGAGGTGAAAGGCAAGAAGAAAGACTTAATCTGGTTTATGGCGGGGATGTTAGGTCTTTGCAGTTAATCAACAATGGTCAGTACCTGGATTGGAGATCTTGAGAGAAATAATGGTGAAGCAGCAAGTGGTACTGGTGATTCACATAATTGTACCAGTAATCCAGCATTGTGTTAGGAGTTGATGAACTGCTACCGTTGTGTTTTGAATAAGTAAAATCCATCATGATCCTCTATGAGGTATAAGGCCTATTGGGTAGGGCTAATTACTAATATTTTTCTACCATAGAACCCTTCTTCCTGCACTTTCAGTTGGAGACTGCATTCTTCAGTTCCTGTCCAAAATTCTTGGGTAATGTTTGTGCCATTCCAAAAGTGGCTATGTTACAGAGGGTGAGGTAATACCTGTATGTAGTCTGCAAGTCACTATTTTTGGACCTTTTTGTGTGATTACAGGGGATATAGACATGTAAAATTATTAGTAGAACAATTAAGTCTTATCCCAGAGGCAACATGGACTAGCAATGTGCATGTGCAGCTGGGAATTGGGAGCTCTAACATTTGTTTTACTGACTTAATACATAGCCTGTGGAGGTTTGAGGTCTGCACATTCAAACATGCCCTTTGATTCTGCATCTTTCAGAAGCACTGGCCACCCACAGTCCCTGCTTCGGTCAAGACAAGGTACCACAAGTTAGTATAACATGCCATTGGAGGGAGTGGGGAAAAGCTGAGGGTTGACAGAATATGGAACACATGCCTACATGGAATAGCTGTGTACTCACGTAGGTTGATGGATGGAATTTGGGGCCTTTTTAAAATAAAGTGCTGAGTAAACAGCAGATAATACAGTTCACTGGCACCAGAATGATTATTTGGACTATTTAATCCACCCCTGCTATGAACGATAATGAGAGGAAAATAAGCCATTGTGCAGAAATGCACTTGTGTCCCTTGACCTCCACTGTCACATTTGGGTCTGTCATCACTGGTACATGTACATGTAGGGCACTCTAGGGCACCTTTTAGGAAAGAGATGAAGACGAGCAAGCACTGGTGCTAAAGCTCCTGGGAAGATAAAGTCATGGTTCACCAGGTTCTATCTCATGACATTCTGTATCCTTTATTGTTTTTCTAGCAACAAGAGGAGGTAATTTAGACATGTACTATCTAGCTAGCCATCTTTCCCCTTCTCTCATTCTCACCACTGAGCTGATGGCACTAACGTTGGCTGAGGGGCCTTGGCCATTACTGTCCCCTGATGTTTTCTGATTGCTGCAGTTATTTCCCTGCAACTCTTTTTTTTTTTTTTAATGAAAAGTCATATTTGGAGAGGATTATTTCCCCCCACATGATCTCTTTATGATTCCTGTGATTCAGGTATGGCATTCTCTGACTGGCAGACAAAAGGGAAAGCCTATGTGATGTGACCTTCAACATGGCTGACTGTAGTTTGTGTTATATATATTTTTCTCTTCCAGTGGCTGCCTACTGCCCTCCCTTGTTCTTGCTTAACTTATCGAAGTTTAAGAGGCGAAAGTCAAAGCTGCTCCTTACTGTGCAAGTCTCTAGAGAGCAGCGCTGAGGTGGAACTGCCAAGCCTGAGCTGAGAGGAAAATGAAGTGAGGAGAATGAGCCGCAGCGTGCAAAGCAGGTGCCACTGCTGCCATTCTCTCTCTGGAAAGTAAATAAAGGAGAAAAACAAGGACAATCTTTTTATGAGACCGGGTGAAAGGAAAATACACAAAGGGAGAGAAAGTTGGAGGAGGGAAAGGACAGAGGAACAGCAGTAGGGGGAGAAATTGTGATAGAGAAGGAGGGAGGGCACAGAAAGTGGGAGTAAAAGGGCAAGGAGAGAAAAAGAATTTATTTCTGCTAGCTCATCAAGAGGGGGAGTCTTTAGAAGTTCTCAAAGTCCCTGTGGGTATGTCTACGCTGCCACTCTAGTTCGAACTAGGGTGGCTAATGTAGGCATTCGAAGTTGCAAATGAAGCCCGGGATTTAAATATCCTGGGCTTCATTTGCATCTTGCCGGGTGCCGCCATTTTTAAATCCCCCTTAGTGCGGACTCCGTGCCCGCGGCTACACTACAACGGTCTGCAAATAACTCAAGATTCTAGGGCATATGTCTGCCACCATTTACATGGTCTGACTGGCCAGACTACACATGAGGTACCTCCAGGCCTGTCTGGCTATACTCTACATCCCCTCCAGGGACTCCTTTTCCAAGACCATCTCCATTCCACCAAATGTCCTCAGGTCATTGGAATGAAAGACACACCCACACAATGTACTACAGGGTATACCATTTCATCAGTTGACCCCGACAGTCACCATCACAACTGATGACCCCTTATGGGATGAGGAGCTCACCTTCACAATGTACTACAGGGTATACCATTTCATCAGTTGACCCCGACAGTCATCACAACTGATGATCCCTTATGGGATGAGGAGCTCACCTCGGACCCCATACTGTACAACACAAATGGTCCTTCAGCAAGCAAACGCTCCACATCAATCTCCTAGAACTCAGAGCTGTGCGTTGGGCATGACTCCACTTTCTACCCCATATAGCACACAAGACAATCAGTATCATTACAGACAATACAATCTGCATGTATTATATTAACTGCATGTATTATATTAACAGAGTGGGGCCTGGTCACTCTCCCTCTGTACAGAAACCCTCAAATTATGGAACTCGTGCCTTGCACACCAAATTACCCCCATAGCCATGTATCTCCCAGGGATACTCAGTTCTATAGTGGACACTCTCAGCTTGCTTGTTGTTACACTTACCCATGAAAGTTGTCTTTTTGGTGGCCATAACCTCCAGCAGGAGAGTGGGGGAGCTTGTGGCACTAATGGCAGACCCCCTTATACAATATTAACGGACATATACACTTTCCTGCATTCTTCCCCATGTTGCATGCTGATCCATCCCAGGCTGCATGGCATACCCGCGACGTCTGTAAAGCACTGGCATTCTACATAAATCTAACAAACTCATGGAGTAAATTTCCCAGACTCTTCCTGTCTTTCGCCAAACGTTCCAGGAGCCAAGCGGTCTCCTCCCAGAGGATTTCCAACTGTATCCATACATTACACAAAAAACAACCACCTGACAATATCACCACCCACTCAACCCGAGCAATGGCCTCTACGGCTGCTTTCTTCAAAGATGTGCCTCTAGAAGACATTTGCAAGGCAGCCACCTGGTCATCCGACCACACATTTGCAAAATACTGCACGCTTATCGCTATCATTGCATCATCTATGGCTTTGGACAAGCGGTGTTATCCTCAGTGGCAGGGCTCCAAACCCACCTCCACGATTCTACTATTGCTTTGTAGTCAACCAGAGACATCACTTGAAGAAGAGAAGAATTACGCAGTAATGGGAGTTCTTTGAGATGTGTGTCCCCGTGGGTGCTCCACTATCCTCTCTCCTTTCCCTGCATTGGAGCCTTCTTGGTCCAGTGGCAAGGGTAGAGAAGGAAAGGAGAGGACTGCGCTGTATGCATGCTTAATGGACACCAACAGTGTACGGCCCAGTGGGGCACTGCTAGAAAAATCTCCGGTCGCTGGTGTGAGGATGCACCAGCACCCGCAGAGACACACATCTCGAAGAACCTCCATTATTGCACAGGGTGAGTAACTTTCTTTTTCTCTCTCTGGCTGGTCATGAGCAATTTTGAGTACGGTATGGTTCACAAAGCATGTCTATTTTACAGCCTGAGCAAAATGATAATCAGTAACATCAAGGGCTGCAGGGAAATACAAAACAGCATGGATTATCTTGTTTAGGGGTAAGACTATGAACTTTTGGAAGTATATCTGGTGTGCAGATGATCCCCCATTATTCTTTTAATCTATGAAGACAAGCCATAAGTGGGCTTGATCTGATGAGACAGAATCACAACCAAACTGGTTGATGATGCTAGAAAAAGCCCTTGGGCTACTTCCTATATGTATTTTTTCAGTTTGGGACATCATCCATATGTAGTCCAAATTAGCAAAGTCAAAATGACCAGGAACCTACAGGTTCTCAAAGGACAGGAAAAGGTACTACCTGTGGGCCTTAACCACTTGGTGGTCCCATCAGACTCAGCCTTCTGACTAGCTTCCAAGAGCAGATTTCATCTCTCTTGCAGCCTCTCCACCACCCTTTGCTTGGGCTTCTGAGCTCCTTTTAGTCTGCACATCCAGTTTGCGTAGGCTGAAGAGGAAGACAGGAAGGGGGATGGAAGAGTAGGGAGAATAATAGAATGGCATCTCCCCCCTTGCAGGGGTTAGCAGAGCCGAAGGAGCGCCTGTAGCGGGTTTTAAGGGTGCGAGCGCCACACCCCGGATCTCCCGGGCTGGGCCGGCAGGGGGGGGTGGGGCTCCGCGAACCCACCGCCTTCGGAATGCCCAGTAGCCCTGCCCTCCGGGGTTCACGGGCGAGTCCGGGCCCGGGTGCGATCACCCCTCGCCCCGAGTAGGGCCGAGGGGGCTCGGCGGACCCGGACCTGTAACTTCCCGGGCGGCCCCCGGCCGGGGGTCCGACCGGGGCTCTTGAGCCGTCCCTCTAATCTTTGCCGAAGGAATGCAGGAAACAAATCACTTGATCATTGTCTTCGGTCCACCCTCTCTGGGGCACCTGGTGCTGGCCACTGTCAGCAGACAGAATACTAGGCTAGGTGGACCTTTAGTCTGACCCAGTACGGCCATTCTTATGTTCTTATGATCAGCAGGGCTACCTAGATTATGTATTACATTTTTGAACCCGTTCAGGCCCAGCCTGGTGTTTGGAATCAGCACATAACCAGTATGATGTATCCAATATCTTCAGTATTCCTGCTCAGTGTGAAACTCAGCTGGGTTTTCAGACCTTAGGCTGTGCTAATAGCTAAGCCAAGGGTTCTTTAGCTTATAAACTAATCAGTTAGTTATGAGGTGGAAGAACAAATCTGGAGACCCACAATGTCATTTTGACAGATGGTCTGCTATAAGAACAATACTCTGCTTTACACGACAAACCATTATAAGTTACATGTAAGGTGCAGAACAGGTAGCACACCTCAGAGCAAGAGGCTAGTTTTGGGGGTAAATCTTATGTGAGAATTAGAACACCTGGGTTGTGTTCCTAGCCCTGCCATAGAGTTGTTAGCCCTGGGATAAAAGTTGCCAGTGATATTGGTTGTCTAGTTTTAGGTTTATCTCCCCCTCCCCCGAGTCCTGAGCACTCAACTGACTTCAGTTTAAACTGAAATTGGGTGCTTAGCAACTCTGACAATCAGGCCCAACCTGTCTAAATAATAAATAGCAGAGCCATAGACTAGTCCAATAGCTGGCACAGAAGGTGGCAAAAGGCATGACAAAGAGGGAGCAAAACAGAGGCTTTCACATGAAAAATATCCTTCCTCCCAATAAGAAACTTGTAAAGAGGGATCAATTAGCTGGTATGTTCTTTCCTCTTTGTTTTTCTGGTGCTGCAGCTGTGGGTTAAATCTGAGAGCACCAGAGAACAGGAACATGCAGACTGTGCTTCTGTCAGTTATCTGCCAAGCCCCTTAATGCATTTATTCCTTTCCTCTGTGCTGTTAATGGATTCATTATTTGGACAGGGAGATAGGTGCCCCAGATGTTCCCCTAGCCACTTATTTCTTTTTCATGTGGAAAGAAACAGCGTGTCAGAAAACTCGCTGCAGGGCGGAGGGTATGGGGTGCTTAAGAAACCTGAGTTTGGGTGGAGGGTGGGAGGTAAGGTGAAGGAGGTGAGAGAGACTGACATGGTCCAGTGGGTGCACCAATTATCTTTTTATTTCCTCCTCCATATAAAAGAAATCTGAATTCTGATAGCTGACCTGTATTCTTTCTTGAAGAGAATAGAATGTTTTTTCATTATTCGCTTTTTTAAATAAAACAGTGTGTGAAATTAATTAATGTCATTAAATGAAGCATATGGAAGCTTGTCCTGACATTATAATGATTGTGAATCAGTGCAGAAGAAATGGTAGAGAAATGAACTGCGAAGCACTGTCTTTTGTATTGGGGCTCATCCTGCTTTAACTCTTTCCTTGAAATCCTCCCCCTCATGAATATGCAGGGCCTGTTACTCCTATTAGTACTTGGAATTCTCAAAATGGGGGACTTACGGCATCACAACTCACACAAACTCAGCATCTCCACCAGCAGCTTTGTGTTTGGCTGTGGGGAGACAGAACATAAACCCACATGAAGTCTACTGTGGGGGTAGCTGTTCACTTTGCTCCAAAACAGCCTCTGTGATCTTCTAAATAGGAAAGAATGGAACCAGGTAAGCCATGCCATGCCTGCTAGCTAGCATCAGAAAGTAGGCCAGCAAATCCATAGTAGTGGTACAAGCAGGCAGCTGAGAGAACTGAAAGAATCAGCATGGACACCTGATCTCCCCCGCTCCCCTTCCCCTTGGTAAAGAGATTATCGATCAATGAGAGTGGAGCTAGGCCAAAATCCAAATTGAGAAGGATATCAAAAGCAATTTCAAGTTGCTTTATACTAAACCATCTTTTCCTTAACCATCTTCAAATGAGGAGGAAATATTGGAGACTGGATCTATCTCCCATTAAAGTGGACGGTACAATCTCCAC